TTTAGGGGGATGTTTATTCGAGGAAAAAATATACGGCCCATGGTGGTTATTGGAGGGAGGCATTTTTCAAAATGAGGCTCTGGAGGGGGAGTCTATTTGAGGGGGTGTATAGTCAAAGGGGGCGTTAATTCGAATAAATACGGTATTCCAACTAAATTGAAAGTATCATTGGAAAACAACTGTCAACAGTGTAATGTAATCCCTGGTTGATCTCACAATCTCCCACATCCCTCGGATGTGGATTTTCTTCTTGTCGAAGAGGTTCTAAAATACAAGATGTATCAAGATTCTTCTAATGAATCAGGGGGGGCTATTGGAAATCTTTCAGTGTCCATTTCTACATCTTCCAACCCTTCATTTATATTTTCATACATGGAAGTAGTATACCTTCTTACATTATCTGAAAGGAAGAAAATAAAATGAGGTTGTTACCTACAACGTTTTAAGAATGCGGACGAGCAAAGATGAAGCCCTAGGGAAATAAGATAATCAACTTGCAATAAAAAGTTATTGGCAATTCTATCTATTAAAAAAATTTAGTTGAAGCAATTCTCAAGGTAGACAACAGAAAAATTTTCAAGTTATTTTTATGGCAAGCACAATGATTTGGTTATATTCTATAACTGGACATATACTTGCTGTTGAATTAGAATTTAACAACCAGACCAATCAATCAAAGAATTAAATCAATCAATCCATCAATCACTCTGTAATGGAGCAGTATTGTTTACTGTGTCATTTCCTGTCTTTCCTTATTCTGTACATGTACCATATATACAAATTTAGCATTTTCAAACAAGTGTGGCCTGCTAATACTTTATAAGCTGCAGATTCAAATATTACATCACACTCCACTGCGGCATTGGTGTCATTTAGACATGTGGAATAGGCTGAGGTTTTGATATCTTAACTGTCATTTTAGGCATTTAACATGAGTTCTTTATAAACCAATATTGTATGTGTGCAAAATGTGTTTAAATTATAAAATATTAATGAAACTTGTAATTTGTATGTGTGCAAACTCTTGTTTTGTTGTTCACTCAGTTTTCAACAAGCCATTAAATAGTATATGAAGGAAGAAAGCTACTTTTGACACCATGGCCTTGTGTGAATTTTTTGTGTCTAGACTCAACCAGCCTCAACACTTCCATGAAAGATTTCTCACTACCATTACAATAAACATAAGGAAAATTGACAAACCCAAATCAAACATTGGATGTCTCAGGAGTCGAGAAGCCGTTGGCCTTGTGTGATTATCTCCAAAACCTTCTATAAGAAAACCCCTGATAGCGGGATCTAAAGATGCTGGAATGTCTTCCACAGGAGGGGGTCTTGTTCCAACCTATTTAGATACACAAACAAAATCATGATATAAAATAGTTACAAACACACACAAACAATTATTGTAATCATATCTCCAAATAAATAATTGTTTTAGCAAGTTTGAAAAAAATGCATCAACACTTACATGATATAAATGCGCATAATATTCTCTTAAACCTGGGAAACGTTTCACCCATGGTGGACTACCAGTGAACAGGTTGATAGCCGAGCAAATTGTACTCCAAACATCGATGGTAGCATTGAATGCTTTAGATCCTGAAAAAAACATACAAGTAAAGAATCAAGGAATCGCGGAATCAAGGAATCTTTATTGTCGATACAATCAAAATTTGGATCCAGGAGCTTATTGTTTAAATATACAAAAGATAAAAGTAAAGAATATATTAAATGTACAGTATATAAGACATTAAACTTCCAATATAAAAAAAACCAAAACAAACAGAACAAATAGAGAATGTGAAAATAAGATAAGTGTAGGTAAGCCGATAAGAAGTTGATTATTGCGAGCAAGATATTGCAAACGGATTGCTTAGTTCCTTATTCAAATTATCAATAAAAATCTGATATCTTGAAATTGTTAAAGTTCATTGGCTCTTCTGTAAACAAACTTACGGCAGACTTCAGGTGCCATAAAATACATTGTTCCTCTTGGGTTTGAAACTAATTGCTGACCATTGTTGTTAAGTTCCATGGCCAAACCCCAGTCAATGAGAACAATATCTTCATCGTACGTCAGTAGAATGTTAGCAGCTGTCAGGAAAAAGAAGATATAATGAAAAATTAAACAAATGTAAGGCAAGGTGTAATGCATGTTATCATGAAGTTAAGAATTTTTAAAAGATGAAAAGAGCGATCTATTTGAAATGTCAATATACTCTCAACCCAACAGTTTGTATCTGAACTATATACATGGCTTACTGCAAATTTATATTATTGTTTATCTGGCAGACCCACTTTTTTAGCATTTTTTAATGGGCCGTAACTTTTAAACAGTTTGTTGGGATAATAATTGAAAAGCAAAATGATCAGTGACAGTTTTACAGATTTAATACTAAGAAAATCCAAAATAATCAATATGAATTTTCTTAATGGGATAATAATAATGTGGAAATTATGAATAGAATTACTGGGACAGTACTCACGTTTTATATCCATGTGGACAATGTTCATGGAGTGGATATATTCCAAGACGCACAGAAGTTGCTTGATCCACTTTACGATATTACGATCGGAGAGTTTAAATTTCATATCAATCATAACAGACAATGGTGTACATTGGATGTATTTACTGAGCATCATGACGGTGTTGTCATGGCGAACAACACCCCACAGAGGTACGATGTATTGGTGCTCTACCCTCATCCAGATAAGGCATTCATTCACCTTAAATTTTTCAAGGGAAACCTGCACAGTACAAAGCATGTGAAACTTTGACAGGATATGAAGTTAAACAGAATGTCAATCAAACTTATTAACTGACAACAGAGCAATCATAAAAGGTCCATTAATATGCGTACATAAATACGTAAATGAAAAAGTGAGGTTGTTCCGTAAAATATGTAGGTATAGAACATACATGAATATAATTGTACCTTAAAGTTAAATTTTGAAATGAACAAGACACGAAAGCATTGTTTAATTTTTGGTCAACTTTTTTGACATTGAAGCTTAGGCCACCAGCAACCTTCCCCATACTGGTTCTTAGTGTTAGCTAGCGCTACTTTTAACATTGTCTACCAAGAACTAATATTAGTATTATTATTTATATCAGTTATTCATATATGTTACCCATCAACTAGACATTATGCAAGGCACTGACCTCTATGGGCCTGTTCGAGCGAAAAACGCAAACCGTATTCAGGTGAATTCACCGGTTAATCACGCCGAGCACACAGCGGGTGGTCCACCGTTCGAGCAAATTTTAGCTCATGTCGAATACCGTGTAACGAAACTATTCCGGAAGTAATTTTGTAAGGTCATTCAGAAATACCAATCCCATCAACCCATTCTTTGTTTACTTTTGCTTGTTTAAACGATACGCGGGAACGATTTGTATTCAAGTTTAATTCTCTGAATACTGTACTGTAATGGTAATTTTACAAATTGAACGTGTAGCTATGCTACTAGCCACCATTATGGCTACAATGATGCGATGTTATGTGGATGGATTTACTGTCCAATCCAACTTTGATTTCGCCGTGAACATGAGGAGGCGAAGAAGAGCGCGACGACAGCGAGTACTTGCTGTGGACGAACCATTTGGCAAAGCAATTAAGGTTGATTTATCATCGTCTCCGGCTCCAAGGCCAACTCATACACGGAATTCTACCCAGCAATTTGGTGGTCAAAATTGTCGCGGATAATCCAGATGGTAAGGTAATTAGGCGCGTGTCCAAGCGGTTTTAGAAAGTGTGTACTGGTGAATTAACTGGAAAATCGCACGGATATTTTTTTATGAATCGCACTCAACTTTTAGGTTTACCCAATAAATCTTTGTTTTATCAAATACACCTTCAATATTCATCAAAACAACACACATAGTGGTTTAAATACATGCCACTCAGTACTCATTTCACTTAAGAAGGCACTTACCTACCAGTGTATACAAAGCAAATTATAAACATGAATGCATACATACAGTAAATACATACAAGGTGAGTGCAACGCCTACTGGCACTTCTTGTTCCAGGTAGTATTTTCGAATAATTTCTTTCTTTCTTTGTTTATTTATTTTTGGGATTATTTTTGTTGATTAGAAAGCAAGTTATTTAACTCCACTTAATTATAAAGTGCTAATAAAAAAAACTTACAAACTTGCAAACAAAATCTTCCTTTGTTCCTTCATCAAAACATAAATAGACGATCCCAAAACCACCAGAGCCAAGGCAACATACTTTACAAAATTCTCTACCTGGTCTATAATAGCAATTACTTGGAGTTAATTCCTGTGGGATAGAAGAATATAACAAACCATTTATTTGTTCATTCAATCATTCATTTCATTTATGCATCCATCCATTATTTCTTAATGGCCAAATAAAACATAGCTTAAAAAAAATTAATAATATAATACATTTTGTCTTTCTTGTCCTCTTTCAAATTAACTTGCAAACAAAATGTTCTCCGTTTCTTCATCAAAACATAAAGAGACGTCTCCAAAACTACCAGAGCCAAGGCGATGTATTTTATAAAATTCTCTACCTGGTCTATAATAGCAATATAACTTGAAGTTAATTCCTGTGGGATAGTAGAATATAACAACCATTTATTTGTTCATTAAATCATTCATTTCATTTATGCACCTATCCATTAATTCTTTCAATTATTCTCTTTTATACCTATGATGGCCAAATAAAAAATCTATAAAAAAAAAAAAAAGGCTTCAAAACTTGATGCAGTAGCTAGGTCATGAACCAGGGTCTACATTATGAATAGCAGTAATCTAATCACTTAGCCAAATGCTCTATTCTTCTGGTTTCATATATTATTCAAAAGTTATCATTTTATCAAGAGATAATTTTTCAATTACATATTATTATTATTAAATAATGAAAACCTTACTTTATTAAAGATAACGCCATCATTGATTTCACCATCAGTTGCATCATGGTTGTGATTCCAATCACAAATTTTGTTACGGCATGTTTCCTGATCGCCATAAATAACACCTGCTGGTCGACGGTTCAACACATGACCACCTCTAGGACCGGGGAATATACCATTTCCCACTGGGTCGATGTCTGGGGAAGGAGTAGTTTCCATAGCCATAGCTTTATTGCTACTCTCTGCTTCTTTGAACTTTTTCTTGGGTCGGGCCCCCTGACCACTGCTGAAACGCATTCCCTTGAGATCTTCACAACATGCTTCCATCTGTAGTTTCTTCTCTGGAAGATTCTTTAATAGCCATTTTAATATAGTTAGGTACCTTTCTTCCTTGTCTACAAGATAAAAAGAAAATATACATTACAATGCAATAACAATTAATAGTTTTACTTAAGAAATTGATTTTACACTTTCAGTCTATCTATTGATTTTTTTTAAGTACTTGTGACACAAGATCACAGAAGAGCTGTACACTCGCATCACCAGGTCTCTAGAAACAGGGCCAAATAGGCCATACAACATTTAATTTGAGTCATAAACATGAAGTACTCCAATTAATCTTGCAATTTTTGGATTTGATATTCAACTCTAAACCATAAAATGTAGTCATTTTATGAAGGCCATTCTATGAGGGACAGTTGATGTGAATAAATATTGTTTATTTATAAAACTATCATCTATAAGTGGGGGAGCCGTTTCTACATATATAGTTTAATTTCAGGTGACTTATCTATTGATAGCATACCAAAACAATACCTAGAATGTCTTGGGTTTGAATCCTGATGGTGACAAATATGTGTTCATTAAATCAGAAAACCAATATGAATACTGCAGAAATAGTGTCAACATGTCAGAGTAATATTTTAGATGACTTGAAAAATAAACCTTACTTCTTGCTCTTTTATAATCCTTGTAAAATGGGAAAGCATCTGGTGTACTTGACACAAGATATTCAAAAGCATGCAAGATCAAAAGGCAATCCTCGCATGCAGTGCGTCCCAGATGACATTGCCGTAAATGCTTCAGAAAGGAGTCGCCTCGTCTGGTAAATTCTGTTTGCTGATTACATACACCATTTTTAGGATCTCTTAGATTTTCCATAACTGCCTTCAGACACTTCGAAATGTAGGCCGGACTCTGTAAAATAAAATGGTATGTTAATGACTAATTACCATTAAATTATTTAATGATGAAAATGAATTGTTAAACCATAGTAAAGGTGTTTTTTAGGTACCTAATGATAATCTAGTAACTATGTAATATACTTAAGTTTACCAATTATTATCATTAAAATAAATATCACTATACAATATAATATTATAAAACAATCAATAATCATTTAAAACCAAACTTCTAGTAAAAGCTAAAAAAAATACTTATACACATCTAGACCCACTTACATTAAGATTCTCCTGCTGCTGTTCCTTGTCCTCATCCTTTTCCTCTCTGTAATCCTCTTCCACCTTTTCCTCTGCGTCTTTCTCATTTCCCTCCACCTTTTCATCTGTGTCTTTCATCGCCTCCTCCTCCTCTTTTAACTCCTCCTCCTCTCCTTGTGTAGAAGATTGGCCTTTTCTTCCATCTCCATCACCTCTTCTCCGTCCACCGTCTTCATCACCTCTCCGTTCATCACCAGCATCTCCAGAACTACTAACATCACTAGAATCCCCACCAGTGGTAGGCTGCTTTGGTTTCATAATAAATCAAATGAGATGTGTAAATTTCAACAAGATATAAAATGCATAGGGCCAACTAAAGAAAATAGATTTCGATTTGAGAAAGTAGAATTTGAACGTATAACGAATTCACTCATTCATAACTGTGCGAGTTCTTTGTTCTACTGTAAATCAATTTTGATTTTTGACGATGCATACACGGAGAACTGGAAGACCGACACACTAATGTTTAATTGTACAATCCTTGTTCTCTCTGAACTTAGATTCCGCCAACAACCATTTTAGATTTCAGAAGAGAAGATAGCGCACAACGTTCAGACATGCCAGTTAAATAAACCTGACATCATTATGTTGTACATCGTCACAATCAAAAGCTCCCTAACATAATCCTCTGTGACTCATTAAGCAAGCAAGGACAAAATTAACTATATACTTTTAAAACAATATTAAATATTTTTATTAAATGGGAAAAAAAAACAACCTCCTGTTGTTGTTGCTTCTGCTGTTTTTGTTGTTGGGAACTTTTTCCTTTTGAATTCTGAGAAGAACCTCCGGGAACCTTTCTTCCATCATTGGGTTCTTTGCTTTTCGGTACTGCTGGCTTTTTCTCACTGCATTCTGGCTCATCTAAGTGAACAGCCAACTCACTCGCTTTTTCTGGTTGCTCCCCGTCATTAAATGAATCTTCAGTAGTTGTAACCGGCTCCCCAAAACAAACGTTGATTAGATTGTCATCACTAAATATGTAGAACGTCCCATTGAATCTGAAATGGACTTTCTCTGGTTCTGTAAACTCTTCTTTGCTTCCTTTACACTTGACACCAATGTCTACCACCGAAGACTTCCCATCTCCAATTCTACAGTCATAACACTCTTCTTGACTTTGAGACTGACAGTGGTCTACTTGCTGGTCACCTGGCATAGCAGGCATATTCTACCAAAAGAAACAAGTAAAGCAAAATTAACAAGGGTATAAATAACCCATACTCCGAGAATAAGACTTGAGGCATGGGTATGAAAGTCACTGAAAATTGGTAGGTGGGTTTATACTCAAAAATTGCCCCGACATGTCATGCCCGAAAGTGCATTATCACATTCTTTAATATAAAATCACATTGGACAGCGAACAGCACAGCGTGTGCCTGGATTAAGGTTTCAAACCAAAAAGTAATGACTACATGTCCACACACAATAAATTCAATCTAACTTATTTTTTTCAATGACCTGAGACATTTCCTTGACTTTTTCCAGCATTACCATAATGTCTCTAATAAACGACTTATTCTTTTTTATCATTTGCCAATGAATATTTCATGAGTGCCCAACCTATTTAAACAGAGATAAACAGAGGTTTCTTACATTTAGAATGGGTATCAATTATTTACAAATATTAAAATTATGAAAATTCAACTTTAGTGGCCGATTACAAACAACTGCAAATGCCTGTAATGCAACGCATTATATAAGGCAGCCTGCCTAGGGAAATCTCCATTCCTCTCGCGTAACATAAACGGCTGTATATAAGTTATAAGTCTGTTAAATTTTCCAACCGTGTGGGTTGGAAAATAAGTTTTATTTAAATTTGATTAATAAAATACTTAGTGAGCATATGTATGTTATTCAATCAATCATTCTATTATGATGGTGGCTAATAAAAGGCGATATTAAGCTAAACATATTGGTAATTCTAGGCCTATACTTGGCCTAAATCATCACTACTATACTAACTGTTTGAAGCATGCAACCATCATGCACCACGTTGTAAACAAAACAGAACGGAGTAATACCATGTTATACAATGTTTATTAAGCATGGGCAGTTTTATAGATGACGTATGCCTTTCTACAGTTAAATTCCAGTAAAAAAGTATAACTTCAAGAAAACTTAGTATTTTTATAGGACACAATAATTTGTTTTTATTCCAAAACCATAACACTGCACAGCCACCCGGCAACCGAACGCAAGTTTAAACCAGTTCACCAACTGCCATGTGCATTTTGTCAACGTTCGTCAAGCTGCTCACGTGATATTGAGCACTGAAAAAATATCGTTTGATGTAGTCGTGAGCGAAGCGAGTTCAAACAGGAACGTTTCAAATGTTGTTAATGACTGAATGTAATATGAAAATAATAACCAAAACCATAGCTTGAATGTCGTAGAAAATGTAGGAATTCTTTCAGCACTGTAGCGAGTATAATTACAAATACTACAGTAGGCCAGAAAACCAGTCCTACCTTAAGCTAATTAATATTATGTTATATTCAGAGATTAAGATACTTATTCACTTCTCTATTACCCATTCATACCTGTAAGCGCCTGAAAGGCTCGATGATTATCATAATTTATTAATTAACAATAATTTTAAAAAAAATATGGTTTGGTGTTGCGCTTATTCGAGAGCGGCGCTTATTCAAGAGCGGTGGTTATTCAAGAGCGGCGGTTATTCAAGAATTTACGGTAAACTGGTCTACCAAAAAAAGAAAATTTAACCATATATATTTTTTTGTATACTAGTAATTAATGCCTTTTTAATCTTTAGTCTAAGATACAGCTAGTTTTTCCATACAAAATAAGAATAAAACAGGATAAGCATTAAAATGTGAAAAATAAAAGAGCATTTAATGTTAACAGTCAGTTTATGAAAAAATCAAATCGTTTTACATTAATTTTGCAATAAAAATTAATTAATTTTTGTAAAAAAACAAATATTTGCCATAATTCATCAGATTTAATGAGTGAATGAACATTCCTTCTATTCATTAAAAAAAATCATCAGTCATTTTAATGTTTCACTATTTAAAAAAAATTTAAAATGCTTGCCTGTATAAGGTATAAATCCAAACTAAATGTTCATAAAAAATGGCAGTTGATGAAAAGATATTATTAGTATTGTTGAAGTGTTATGTGTTAGGTGAGTGGCGTAATATCTCCAATAAAATGCCAAACAATTGTTGCACCCATGTATAAACAAAAAATAACCTATGGGTTGGAAATTTCTGCGAAATATTTTGCAAAACAAAAACTTACAATTAGCATATCAATTCATCTAATCTTTGTTCAACTGTCTATTGACTTTACTATTGACATCATTCATGATATTGAGTTATGCTGTCTACCATGGAATGGAAACATAACTTGAAAGAACTCTACTTTTTTTAAATGAGATAAAAATGAATGCAACACCGACCTACAAAAATGAACTCGTAAATTAACTCAAAATCTGCTACTACCAGTTAATAAATGTATCAATTGACTCTTTAAAACAAAATGGCTACCATACTATAGGGTATAGTTTACAACATACTAAACGACAAACGGCAAAGGTCATGAAACAGGTGCCTTTGTTGCACACATTAATGTACTTTTAGAAACCTGTTGAAAATCACATACCATAAGCCACAAATTATTAAATAAAAAATAAACAATAAATATAAATATATTTATTATAAATATATAATTAACTTAAATATGTTTTTTTGCAAAGATAGGTTGATTGTTTGTAGTGACTGGTGGCACATTGCATCACTCAAAGCATTAGCTCAACCCGCCCTCGATAAACTTATGTTACGTTATCTCACTATATTAATTTGATTAACACATTATCAAGAATAATTACTGAGTGTTTAACACTGGTGTCCTTGGCTTCAATTATAGGTAAACGGATTAGTTGCCTTTTTTATGAGGTTTTAATTGTCCTTTACCGCCGGAAGTGCGGTATTCTAACGTTAGTTTAAGGAGGGCTGGTCGGCCTAATGGGCCTAGGCTAGGTCGTGATTAGCAACCACAAATGGGAAACTTGCTGCTTGGTACTGCAGAAGCAGTCATGACAACCGTCAAAGTAGGCCTAATTGAAAACCTTAGAAATACAAAATAAAATTAAGTTTTTAAAATGTCTACAGCGTCCTACCTTTGTCAAATTGTACTGAAAAAATGTACGTTTCCAAAATCCAGAAAATGCTGTAAACTATAAAATACTTTCAGATCCACAAAACTAAGAGTACAGTAAATGGATGTAAGCTGTCGAATAGCCAATAAATCTGCCAATATACAGTATAACAGACTTTTCAATGCTGAATATACACAAAAAAAGTGTAAAAAAAAATCCTCTTCAATAATCGTCTACCGTCCTATTCTATGCACAGTGACAAAATGGCGACCTGTTCACTCTCACTGTGCTATAAATGCATTGTGAGATAGGTACGTCACACTTAGTACACACTGTACTTCCTGTTTACCATCAGACTGTTAACAATGTATTTTAATTTTTAAAGTTTAGCCACCACTGATGCAGTGTTGCATTAAGGAATGAAATGTACAGAAAAAGGGTTCAATTTAAAATTAGAAATGTACTTTACCAAACAAGCATGATCACAGTACTTTATTCTACTATTATATTTCAATATACTTTTAATTTTGTAATGAAATTTATAGCAGTCTAATAAAATATCTTGAAATAATAAATATTTATGTATATATTTAGCAATCATGAAAATAGTCTCATTCTTTTACATTATTTTGATTCATTCATTTCATTCATCATTTATTTTCTTATTGCTTAATCAGGACAAACCAATATTCCTTCTTAATTGAAAAAAAAAAACACATGTGACATGCCTCTAAATATGCAGTCCATCACGTATGTAAAATTCAGTAGAGCACTAAATTGCTCTCCTCGGATTACTAAGGAAAAATTTCACAGCGTTGAATAGACCCCCCACCAGGGATGGCCCCCGGGGGGGGGGTCGGGGGGCGGGGGGGGGGGGGGGGGGGGTGAATCGAGAGACAACACTACCCTAGGGGATCTGGCATTCCCCCATGGAAACTTTGTTTTCTAGACACCCGGAAATAACTTCTGAGGTATTTTGGGCGATTCCCCTACCCCTACTAGCCCCCCGTGGAAATTTTGTTTGTTTTCTAGATGCCCGGAAATAACTTCTGAGGCATTTTGGCCGATCAATAATCTGGGGGGGGGGGGAACAATTATTAAAAAACAAACAACTGGAAATACTTGTATTCTCCAGGAAAACTCTCATCACTCCCCAATTTTTTTAGTAGACGTCCATATATTTTCTGTGTTAAATTTCCGACCGTGTGGGTTTCAACAATCATTTTAGTTAAAGTCTATTCAAATTTAAATATTAATTTAATATACCAGAATATATTTATTTATTTACTTTGAGAACATAGGCCTTTGGAATGGCGGCACACACAAGAGTGGTGCATTCAGCTTAAATTACAAAAATATAAGAATTAACTAAAGAGGGAGCACACTTATACATAATCGTTGATAAAATATGCATACAGTATATTATAAACACGGAAAAAAACTGTACATACAAAATAAGACTACAAATTACTTAAAAAAAACTCATGATGTTTTTATAGCACACATTACTTTCACAAGATTTTATTCTGAAATTATAACAGTAAACACTGCATAGCGGTATAATTCTTTCTATAACGTTACTAGCCTCCTGACAACCAGACGTCGTACAGCGAGTTTACAACCATGTGCGTTTTTGACGATGTTCATGAAGCTACTCACGTGACTTCGAGGATGGGGAAAAAATTGTTTGTTATTGTTTTGAGCGAACCGGGTTCAAACACGTTCAATGTGAACATTGTTTACGAATGAACTCAATGAAAAATATTTATTTAAACAACCCAAACCATTGCTTGAATGTCGTAGGAATCCTTGTCGCACTGTAGTGAGTATAATTACTATACTAGGCCAGCAAACCTAGGCTAATTAATTTGGGTAGCTGAAGACAATGGTCAACATTTTATCAAATTATTATTTTTTTTTTTTTAATTGTTTTGTTTGGATGTTTTCACGAAAATTTTCTGATTTTTAATGTGTTTATTTTAACACTTTCTGTATTTATTGTCTTTTTTGAGACCCAGAGCTATCTTACGACTCTCTGAAATGTCTCCCAACCTATGGGTTGACGACCGTAGTACTGAGTGTAAAGTAACGCCTGTGCCCGGGAATATATCCTCCGTTAAAATTAGGCAGGCTAGAAATCCAACTGCACATTATTTAGAAAACAAGGGCCGATTTCTGTGCAGATTTTGCCGAAAATTAGCCTTTCTTTGACCGGGTAGCTCAGACAGGAAGAGACCCTTAGGAAAGAAGCAAGTTACTGTGGAGCTAGTCCACAACTCAAATGCTTTGAGACTTGTATAAAGCACTACAGTATGTAAATCGAACTATAACATTACATCTGAATATACATATGCTAAGTTACGGTTTTGCCACCTATTCTCCTAGCGATTTTCAGTGAAATTCAGCTAGTTTTTGAGTTGAGGTATCATCTACCGAACCTTTACAGAATATGGCGTTGTTGAGGGGCCTGTCTAGGCCTATGTGTACTTTCATTTTATATTATATTTTATTCATTCACACAAGATTGGAACGGATTTCATTCATTCATACATTTCATTGCTATTTTATATACCGCGTTATTGACAAATTGGTTTATGGAGAAATCGGCAAATAAACCAAAACGGCAATAATTCAAAACGACAATGACCAAAATGGCAACACTTTTGACCAGAACGGCAATAGACCAAAACGGCAATAAGTCAAAACGGCAATAAGTCAAAATGGCAAGACCAAAACGATGCTAAACAATTTATGTCATAAAAGTAAAACGCGAAAAAGTAAACTAATTATATACATGAAAGTGTACTACGATTAAATATTGTAAAAATGAGGCAAATAGCAGCAGCAGCAATAATATCATTATGATAATAATAAAGATAATAATAATTATAATAATAATAATAGTCATACAAATTCAATATTAAAAACATTGGGGTGGGAGGAACAATATAAAAGTAGTAAAACTTTTTAAAAATAAAACTTTCAAAATACTCCAGACAAAATGAGGCTAAACAATTATTGTCATAAAAGTTTTAAAATGTGAAAAAATAATAATAAACATTTAAAGTGGGAAAAAGAGCCCATGGCCATATTCGATTTGCCTTTCAAAACAATTCTGAAAATTATAACTGCGGCCAGCACCCGCTGGCGCTTCGTAGTCTTTGCATAGATTTTGCTCCTTTGCCGTTTTGGTACTTGCCAATTGCCGTTTTGTTTCATTGCTGTTTTGGTTTTATTGCCGTTTTGGTCAGTGCCGTTTTGGTTTATTGCCGTTTTGACCTGCTACCGCCAAATTTTATCACATTGATCACGGGTGCACTGGATGGCAGAGCCAAGAGCCCTGGGGCAAAGAAAGGCAAGTTGCCCTAGCCTAGTATCTAGCTAGGCCAAGGCCTAGCTAGGCCCGGGGAGGAGCATGAAAAGTGGGAGCCTACCGCTCTAGAAAGATTTTACTGCCCATTTTAAAGTATAACTTAAAAATACGCTATTTTGAGTACTCACCAGAAATGAAATGACGTAGGCCTAGTAGTAGTAGTACTAGGCCTAGCATGGAGGTCCATGGGCCTAGTAAATATTCTGCACACTAAATAATAAGTTACAGATTTCTCAACTTAGTAAAATGCATTTCCGCCATGTCTTCTAGAATCTGAGTTTCCGTAGTAAATAAAAATATTCCGTAGCACCTGATGATTCATAGCCTAGGCCCTAGGGCACTTTTTTGGGTTTTACAATAATTTATCAGCAATCTGACAAATCTAGGCTAGGCTAGGCGGCCTAGGCCACGGTCCATAGGTAGCTGAACATGAGGAACGATGTAGCCAAACTTGATGAAAAAAATCATGTCTTGTACTTTCAACATGATGTCTATATTTCTGGTTCTAGACTAAAGATAGTGTCTTTCGTTTATTTCCGTAAACGCCCATAATTAGGCAATACTTCCGTAGCAACTACGGACGGTCCGTAAAACTTGTGCAGTCTGAAGTTATCAAACTTCAAATTCCAGGCTCCAGGTGTTCTAACACACGTGTTTTGTTTATTTGTACTTAGCAATTATCCTAGAAGACGACAGGAAAGAGGCCACTCAATAGTGCCACAGATGGCACAATATCTACTGGTGAGCCAAGAAATATACAAGAGAATCAACTATATCAAAAATAATTAAATAGTTTTTTTTGTTTTTTTTTATATATTCTCTACCAATGATTTTTAATTTATGTGAGTAGCCCCACCTTTATTCCTAATTCAAATCTTATTTTTTATCATGTTTCTTTTTCATTTTCACATTATCATAAATAATAATTTCAGTTCATATAAGTCTCATGTTTTTTTCTCATTTTTACTTTTGATTCAAAATAGTGACTGTATACTATTATCACATTAATTAATGAGTAATTAAAGTAACATTGGCATTCAGCTGCATTTCATTAATATAATTTTCTTTAATACCATATTTATTTGATTAAACACACCCAGGGCATCTATTGTTACGAAGGGCCCACCTCCCACCCCCCCCCCCCCCTTTTTTTTTTTTCAGATTAGTCATTTAGGGGGATGTTTATTCGAGGAAAAAATATACGGCCCATGGTGGTTATTGGAGGGAGGCATTTTTCAAAATGAGGCTCTGGAGGGGGAGTCTATTTGAGGGGGTGTATAGTCAAAGGGGGCGTTAATTCGAATAAATACGGTATTTCAACTAAATTGAAAGTATCATTGAAAACAACACTGTCAACAGTGTAATGTAATCCCTATCTTCTTCAAATTAAGTTTAATGGGGTTTTTTTTTCCTTTTAAAGGTCGTTCTATATAATATAATATATACACTACATATGCTTTGAAAATTATAGTGATATGATTATGGCTAACAAATTTGAATACAATAAGCAGTTGATACAGTGTCTTAATAATACAGTAAAGGTAAAATTAAAAACTATAACTGAATCGATTTCATTTAATTGCGTCTGCCGACAACCGCCGGATGCAGTGGCTTCCCGGATTAAGACCAATTTGAGAACTGTCAATGAATTACAGTATGCATCTTGTAAATTGAATAATGATATACAATTATCACAGGATTACTATACAAAAAAAAAAACATAATTGAACACATTTCTGCTTGTATTTCAACCAAAAAGAATGAGTTGCTGTACTACTCCCGGCCTAAGACCAATTTGAGAACTGTCAATGAATTACAGTATGCATCTTGTAGAATGAATAATGATATACAATTATCACAGGATTACTATACAAAAAAAAAAACATAATTGAACACATTTCTGCTTGTATTTCAACCAAAAAGAATGAGTTGCTGTACTACTCCCGGCTTAAGACCAATTTGAGAACTGTCAATGAATTACAGTATGCATCTTGTAAATTGACTAATGATATACAATTATCACAGGATTACTGTACAAAAAAAAAAAAAAAAACATAATTGAACACATTTCTGCTTGTATTTCAACCAAAAAGAATGAGTTGCTGTACTACTGTGATCAAAATTAAAATTTATATCTAAATTGCTTTTACATGTAAATGTAAATTGAATTAAAATTGTACAACCGATTTCAACAATATCTGTTCATTTTTAGGAATAAATTCATACACATTCTGACTTCACTTATGCTTGGGTACCAATTATTGTATGTTAAGAATAAGCAATTAATTTACAATGTCATTACCAATTACAGTTAAAGTATTGTTGAGGATTTTGATCTATCATCAATGATACATAGATCTAAAGTGGCATGCCTACATGTATGCTAACATTAATCCATTAAGTACCAGAGATTTTTATTTTAATCCGGTTTCTTTATACAAACATAAATGCATTTACCTGTAGCGTGACTTAATTTGTGGGAGTGTAATTTCAGTGGAAAGTGGACCCTTTGGCTTGCATGATCTTCGATACACTGGAGAACACTGTAAATATATCTACGAATATCAATATTTTCGTTTTTAAATGCGGACCTTCTCCAGTTTTTGGGCGTTTCGTCGTAACTCGGATTACACACTCAGAGTACATGGATTATACACTGTATAGCAGTTTGTAATTTAAGTACAGAAATTCACATTCAAAAGGAATACATAGACAAAACAGTTAAACTTTCCTGTGATGTATGAGAAACCAATCTCTTTTTTTTTTTTGTTAAATGTTTTAAATTACTATAGTTCTTCGGGTATAGGCAGTAAAGTATTGGGTGGAAGTATACCCCATCCCAAGATGGCCTTTTACTCAGTGAACTACGGTAAATGTTTGTTTTGTTGTTCAATGTTTCTCCCCTTCTAATTGCTTTTGTTCTATTGGTCTTAAAAACGCGAAGTGCTGAAAGACCTTTTAAAGGAAAAATCAATGAACGTAATTCTGTCTTTTCTATAGAAAAATGTATACAATGTACAGTTGAACTTGCCTAATTCGAATCCAAAATGCCACTGAAATATTGTTGAACTTTAATAAAGTTCAACTTACAGATTGTTAATTAATGGAAAACACAATAATTTGGTATGTAAAATATGATCATATTAGAAATTATTTGACTTAGGCACAGTCGACTTAGGCAAGTTTAACTGTATCATGAAAGCAGCAATACTACCATACAAAGATATTTTTTTAAAAATATCATTTATTTAAATTTTATGCTCAGGGCCAAGGATATGCAAAAAGCGAACTTAGTAAAGTGATTAAAATCACTTTACTAAGTGGCAATCCTTTTCACATGACAAACACATAAACAAGATGCTCTACATAAGTCTCATTATTAGGATTATGGAGTGGAGCTTGCTTGGTCATGAGAAAACATCCTGTTACAGAGGCAGGAATTGAACCCAGGACCCTAATCTTGACCACCAAGGAGGTTCTACCCCTCAAATTAAAGACCAATTTTGAGTCTGGGGTTTACATGGTTTTTAGCAGCTTTGGTCTCTAATTAGAATAATAAAGATAAAAGACATCGGTTAATTTGGGAACACAGGAATGTGGTCTTTAATTGGTCTTTAATTGAAAGGGTCTTATATTAGAGGGAGACCTTTATTCAACTCCACTTGTCATCTTCACCATACACTTAATATTTATCTTCCAAACCATCAGGCGTAATGCACCACTGCCATTCACCGTCTTGGCTTGCCTCCACTACCACGATTGCACAAGTTGGATCTACTTTGGCGTACACGTCAAAGGTATTCCCTGCCTGGTCTTGTAGTATAAACTTTGCATTTGGTTTATCCTTTTTATCAAATATATCGAAGACCTGTGAAAGAACAAGACATAATTGTTTTCGTGTTGTCTTTTTCTCTGCTAGGATTAGTTTGGATTGGATTAATTCGGTATAAAATACAAGAAGGATGAACTATGAAAGTCAGAAGACTTATTTGGGGTGTTTCTGGTAGTGACTAAAGCCAGGCACTCACTGCAGTGCATGGCGGTTGGACGACCGTCAGCTGACAAATCCAACTGTAATCCCTTTGAGTACTGGATGAAGCAATGCCGACTCAAACTGCCGATTGTTGATGGCAGTCTGAATGGATCATCATTAACAACGATCTGTTGCGCAGCAATCTGTTGCGCAGCAATCTGTTGCGCGCTTTGTGGCGTTGCATTCTCCAACAACCTTTTGGCGCAGTGAGCATCAGGCTTAGAGACAATACCTAATCTTTTTCGAAGAGTGCAATATGTTTGTTAACATGGTCAATAGTGAACACAAGACCAACTGCTTAAACATCTCCACAGACAATGTACAGTACTTTCAAAACTTGCTTTCTTCAGAATTGGTAAGAAACCCAACACAAAACTAAGCAGTTGTTTAACTTTAGAGGTAATTTTTATCTAAAATATGTTTTCAGATACATTAATTTGAAAATGACCTTACTTCAGTTGTACTTGATTCAGCTTTCTCATATATATCTACAAGTTATTTGTTATGCTTAGTACCACCATACTCATTTTGTGATTACATTTAACAAATATTATAAGAAATATTTGACTAACTATAATAGATCATACCTTAGAGCTTATGCCTTTTGCAAGCTCCCCATACGTCATTGTAGCAAAATTAACAACTCGGACTTGTTCATCAAACACTTGTATGTTAATGTAAGTACCTAATAAAAAAGAAAATAGTTTTTTTTATTAAATTATATATGATGCATGTCTTTAAAGCAAAATTGGTAGCCTATAATCTGGTTTTGAATGTCTAATTGCTAAGATGTTTTCTATAATTATATATTGAATTCCTGGTTACTATGGAAACAAAGTTGTGATTTATTGGTACCAATGTGCATTCCTTCAAAATATTTTACCTGAAGAATTTCTGCTGCTTTGTGATTCTGTTCTGCTACGTGGAACAGGTTCTCTTATACCTTGGGTGGTAAGGTTTCCTACTTCGTTTCCTGACGCTGTTCCGATTCCAGAGGTGGTATTTTCAATCTAAAAAAGTTATATAAACAATATAAACCTTAGTTTATGGAAGGCAACTATAGTAATCTTCAGGAATGAAAATCTCACATGGGAGGTGACTATATATAACTGTCTTCAGGAAACTATAAGAAACCATAAACTTTCTTGGGGGAAAAAAAAAATTATTACAATTACAATGATGGCGACGATTAGGATGGTGATTTTTGGAGCCAGGATAAAAATGATGATGGTAATGAAGATGGTGGCTGAAAAAAAGTTGAATTGATTAAAAGTAATAAGGAGTATACTTAAAATGGGATTATGATTGTGAACAACAATAATAATTATGATAATGAATGAAGGTATGATAATGAGAATAAATCAGGCTATGACATTAGAATGGGATAAACAAATGAATACATAATAAATTACCTTCAGCTGTTCAGCTTGAAAAGGGATTGATTGGAAATCTAATTCTGTAAAAAAAAAAAACATCCACCAAGTCTAGAGTAAAATTATGGTTCATGTTGTATATTTCAGATGTGATGTCCAAAAAAGAAAACAAAAAACCATCAACCAACTGATACTAAAATTTAGGATGCTTTTGTAGTTTCTAAACATTCTGAAAAACTTATATTGGGTTTCTAAAGCGCAAATGGGCATGATAGTTTATTCCTATAACTGTAGCTGGCAGGTTGGCCTGTTATTTTGATGGAGAGAAAAT